ATTTATTATATTAATTTCGGTCGCTATTTTGGTCTTCAATGAATAAGTAACCAAATTATTTAGCGACCACCTTATCGGTTGCTATTTAGCGACCGAAATGTAAATCGGTCGCTAACAAATTAGCGATTTGCCCTTTTGTGACCAACCATTTCGGTCGCTAATTTCGGTCGCTAACAGAATAGTGACTGATTTTTTGTCATTAATGACCGATTTTTTCAGTCGCTAATAGCGTTTTTTCTTGTAGTGATGTATGATCTAAAACAATGATAATACATGATGAAATCCTGCAACAACATATGAAATTAACCTAAATTAATATATAAATATAATGATATTTTATAACGAACTTTTTATATTGATGTCCAGACCACTTATACCCCTCAACCTTGTGTTTGCTATTTTCGGTCTTGAACTTTTTTTCATTTACTTATGCATCAGATCATCTCCTAGTGTCCCAATTTCTGCCTCTTTTACCCCTGCTGTAACCGTCTTGTTTACAATAACCTAATGATGATACTCATAAGCTTAAAAGTAAAAAGTATGATAATTTTAACATGGACGAATGGTACGAGAAGAAGATTATTTAAGCAACTGTGATGAAAGATGTGAAGTGTTACTTTTTAATATTGATTTTGCAAAGAGAAAGTAAGAATAGGTTTGCTAGGTCCACCACCGGTGGAGGGTGAGTGAGAAAATGTTTTAGTGATTAGAGAAATGTGTAATGAGAAGGGGAGAGTAAGTGAGAGAGTGATAAGCATGTGGAGGATGAGACACTTGTGATGAAAAGGTGAAAGGAGAGATTGAGACACATGATGTGATGAGAAGGTGAATAGGTGAGAGAGTGAGTTTTTTTTTTTTTAAATGGTATTGTAAAAAGTTGAATTTAAATTTTTTTTTTTTATTTTGTAGTGTTGACACTGTCATATGTTGCATTTTGTGTGTCCTTTAACTGTATATAATATAGATTAGTATTCTTAAAATATATATTTAAATAAATATATGTCTGTTAGCTTATTCCACGCACCTTGAGGTGTATTATTTCTTCTGTCAATAGTAGTTTTAGTTCTATATATGATTGGTTCTGCATTCATTCTATATTTAAATATAAAAAATATATATAAAAATTATTCAAAATACGTTACATATTATGGATTCATGACCAGCATCTAGCGAGGGTGTAGGTCAGTAATTGAAGCTTCATTTTCTGATTCTTGAGCTGATTTAAGTATCCTCTCACTTGATCCTGTTTCTCTTGAATTATACTCCCATGACTGCATCTCTGGGAGGATTCTAGTTCTACTGTTCATATAAAATGCTGGTTCTGCAGGAACTGGGAGACTCAGAGAATAGCTGTTAAGCATCAGTATAATGTTAGCCATGGTTGGTCTGTCAGATAAATTCTCTTGAACACAGAGTAAACCAATATGGATGCATCTCATCATTTCATTCCGTGAATTGTTGCTGAGTGATGGATCTACAATATTTATTGCTGTTCCCTCCTTCCAGTTTCTCCATGCCTGCAAAAAATTGTTACTAGTTCACATATCCTACTTACATCTATGTTTTTGGAGCACGTAATCTTCCAATCCATACTTTTAAATGGCAAAGAAGAAATAACAGTGACAAAAGGAAGACTTACGAAGCTTATTAGATCCTCCATATTCTCCCCATTGTTGATTCCACTGTTTTTCTGGCCACTTACAATCTCAAGAAGAAGTACACCAAAACTGAAGACGTCCGATTTTACTGAAAATTGTCCATGCATTGCATACTCTGGTGCCATATATCCACTACAGAACAACATGGATAGAATTACTATTTCGTTCTGTTTCAGTTTCTAACGCCATGGGCAACTTTAATTCTGAATTAAAAGAAATTTACGCTATCACTCGACCATATGAAGCAGATGGATTCTAGAAACAACCTAAGACTCAAACTCTTCGAATAGTCTACTAATTCATGATGTGGTTAAAATTAATGTTAGAAGTTCTCAACGATGGCTGGTTGAAATTATACTCACAACAATTAACAAGCTATAACATATTCTAAAACTTACTAGGTTCCAACAATTCTACTTGTATTTGCTTGAGTTTGATCCACTAAAACAAGTCTTGCCATGCCAAAATCTGCTATCTTGGGATTCATCTCTTCGTCTAAGAGAATGTTGCTTGCTTTGAGATCTCGATGGATAATTCGCAGTTGAGAATCTTCGTGAAGGTAGAGAAGACCTCTAGCAATACCTTTAATGATTTTATAGCGCTTTTCCCAATCCAATTGTTCTTTCATGGTTGGATCTGCATATATAGCCGCCGGCATCAGTTTTAACTCTGAATAATTTCGTTTGTCTTGAACAAGAAGTGAAGTATAGAACAGAAGTCTAATTATGCTGTAAAATAATACCAAATATGAAATAATCAAGACTTTTATTGGCAACAAATTCATAGATAAGTAGTCTTTCTCTTCCTTCCAAGCAGAAACCTAGTAGCCTAACTAAATTTCGGTGCTGAAGCTTGACCACTAAAAGCACTTCATTCTTAAATTCCGTATCTCCTTGCCCAGAATCTCTTGACAACCTTTTGACTGCAATTATCTGTCCATTGGAGAGCCTACCCTGAAAATATAATTCTGTCAGGTGTAGTAAATAATTTGCTAACTGGCATTATAGCATGTTTCAATCATTTATTGTGTGAATTCAATAGAGTTACTTACCCGGTAAACAGCTCCAAACCCACCTTGTCCAAGTTTATTAGAATCAGAGAAGTCTTCTGTAGCAATTCGTATTGTGTCAAAGCTGAATTGCAATGACTCAGCAATTTTAATTTCATCCTCATCTTCATCGTCATCTTCTTCTTTTTTAACTTTACATGGGGAAGGTATTTAAAATAGTTAGTTTTTCGAATATGTTCGAAGCACAATACTGTTGTCGGTGCAGTCATGGGGGGTTGGTTATACTTTTTGAAACAAAAACACGAAAGGTATACAACTCCTTGTTTCTATTCAAAATAGCGGTGACTTGCTCAAGCTTTGGAATATTGAAATTGAGTCTGTTTGATAGATTGTACGTAGTTCAATAATTATTTGTAGTAAAGAATTACTCAAAATTATGAAAGATCATATATGCCTTTCTACAAATTTCTTTGTCCGTTTATGATTTGTTTTAACAATATATGATAGCTGGACTTGCCTGCAAGATTTTTCCTTGCCTTCCTCCGCCTTTGATACAGGAAGAGAGAAATGAGCAAAACAACGACAACAATTGGCGCAATTACGGCAATGACAATTATGGTTGTGTTGCTACTTCCTGCAAAACCAGGAATCCTCTTCCGGATGAGACACTTTAAGATTAAGGATAATAACATATAAAAAAGGTCTAATAACTAATTACAAAGAAGAGAGACGACAGATGCAGCAATAATTTTAGCTGCATAGGATTAATAAGGAAAACAAAGCACCATAGAGAGGAAAATGATCACAGTGGATCACAAAGTCATATAGTCATGTCAGGTTTCATTTTTCGTAGTTCTACTCAATTGTAATTATGAGACCATAAGCAATTATATAGAATGATAAGTACCTTGCGGGGAAGCGTTAATTGTGGATGGAGGAGGTGCTTGCGATGATGGTTGTGTCTCTGGGTCTATTATGGTCGTTTGGTTGTAGAAGCGGTAGTTTTCATATCTTATGTTACAACTGGGCCCAATAACTCTAGCACCTCTCTTGTCCTTACAGCAATTTGGGATATCTGAGATACTCTTATCCAAGCAGTCATTGCAATCTGTCTGAGACAAATCAGGGGTGCACTGCACAAGACCATATATGATTTGAAAATTGCTAGTTGTTGCATTATCCGTAGCATACTTACGACGAGAGTCACCCGATGCTGCTCTGCCTTTGAGGTCATTCATTAAGGTCCGGAGCACTTGGTTGAACTCAACCGCTTCTGTTGCATTACTTGCGCTGAACACATAAAAATCAGGAGAATTGTCCGGGACCCCAAATATTGAGCGATTTGAGTAGCGCAACATGCATATTTCATAATAAATAATGGCCTCTTTCTGATTTGGACAAAACTGTGTGATGTTGCCTCTGCCATCGTTGAGGCAATTGCGGCACTCAGCTGGCTCGACATCTCCCCTGCACAACCCAATGGCGTTCACTCTGTCTGCGTTTTGACCTTGAGAGAAATTGTAGAAACCATAGTTGATCTGTGTGTTGGAAGTGAGAGTGGTTAGAAGGGTGTTGAGATTGGTGTTATAGGTGTTATTGGCTGTGTAGTTCCCGTTGTTGTTATCACATAAATAATTCTGGGCGCTGGCTTGAGATATTAGACAAGAAAGAAAGAAAAGAAGCATGCAAGAAACGCCACCCATCCTCATGGTCCTCTCCATAATGAGAATAACAAACAATGTCAACTGAACCTACATGGTGCTATGCTGCTACTTTATAACAAGAACTTGCATACCTTTTCATTTGACATATTACATCTTTTGGAACGTGTCTCGTTCTTTCTCTTTGAAATTGTTGAGTAGCTAAAAGTATTTTTGTTTGAATTGATACGATAAAAATAAGTTAAGCAACCACGTGATAAATCTACATATATTTCGGATTAACTGAATGAACAAACATATTAGTAGAGAGAAAATATGGTATAAATAATTTTTTTCAAACATTTAGATCGATTTTTTTTTTTACTTTATTAGTTAATCAATTTAAAAAATATTAAATATTATGGGTGAAGTATGAGATATATAATTATATTGTAATTTAAATTTTTTTTTTTTTTTATATCGAGAGCGTACAGGATTCAAATCTTGATGTTATTTTCAGTATGATATAAACCGTATCTCTCTTCTGAAAAGAATCGAACAAAAATGTATAATATCTTTACAGTAAAAACATTGATATGAAACTAGCTCGCTGATGATTCATTGGTTAAATAACGCATTTTAATCCATTTTAAGTAAAACTTTGTTTTCAGAGCTAGTTTCGTCTCAAACGAATATTATAAAGTCGAGTTGCTTCCGTTGAAAAGTACATTTTTTTTTTGTCCAACGTGAAGTTTGCATTTTCGGTGGTCAAAATTAAAAAGTTTGAAAACCCAGGCTGGTAGAGCTGATTAGGACACAAGTAGGTAAAAACAAACACAGAATACTGTGAAAACTGAGAAGACAAGTAGTTTTCTATTTTTTTTAGAGATTATAAACATAAATAATGATATAAAATAATAATAAACTCAACAGTTAATTAAGAATGTAATTTGTTTTATTAAGTAATATAAATTATTATTTATGTGGTGGTCATCTGCTTGGCTGTTATTATGACAAACCTCATATAAAATTCAGGTTAAATGAAAAAATATTGGAATACAAATTTTAACATTTAAAAAAAGACGAGAAAAAGCCAAAATTTGATGCGTTAAAGTCTTTGAGTGTTCACTTTTTTTAAATACAGATTCTTCTACGTAAAACGTCATCAAATATTTGCTTTGTTTTTTTTTTCATGAAAGATGAGAAGATTCAAAGGAGTAAGTAGAAAGAAAATTAATCGATCAATTTTATAATTTTTTTTATAAATAATATATTTTAAAAATTATGTAAATAAAATTTTCATTAATTTATTTATCTAAATAATTTATTTAGTATTTATGTATAATTATTTTATCTAAATTATGTATATTTTATTAATTTATTAATTATTCTTTTTTTTGATCTTTTGTATTTTCTTCTCTTGTCTTTCATTTATTTTTCTAATTAAATTACTATAATAAAATTTAGTAAAAATATATTAAAATAAATATTAAAATTAAAAAATATTAATTAATTATTTAAAATTATAATAACAATAAATAATTTTACTTATAATAATGTAAATAATTAATTTAAAATTATTTTATCATAACAACTAATTACCTATTTAATTAAAAAAATATTGATGAGTTAAATATATTTTTCATTTAATAATTTAATTTAGTTATAATTAGATTCATTTATGACAGATGAAGTAATTTTAAAAAATTTTTATTTAAGAATTATTATAAAATAAATAATTATTTTTTTAATAATTATAACATAACAATAATATTTGTAATATTTGAAATTTATTATATAATATTTTTTAAAATAATATATTAAATTTTAATCTATTATGTTTAATTGAATAATAATATGAAGTGAAAAAATAAAAAAGAAAACAAACACGACAAAATAAAAAAATAAGTAAAAAAAAGAAAAATAATAAATAAATGAGAAAAGAGAATATATATATATATATATATATATATATATATATATATATATATTATAAAAAATTTATTTTCTTTTATTGAATTTTATGAATAAATATTAAATGGATCCAATTAAATAAATAAATTTATTTAAATAATTTTTTATTTTAAATATATTATTTATGAGATTATTTTTCAATCTTAAACCTATTTTAATTTTGATTAATTTTTTATACGTACGTATAAATTAGTTTTCCCTCATAGTCCTTGCTAGCTTTTTGTTCGCTAAAAGTACAAATGTTTCATAAAAAAAAATCATTTTGAACAATTTGTTATTGTATTTTGGCAGTATATCAAAGACTACGTAAAACAGTGAGTTATTTGTTTTTAAAAGTTAGAGGGACTATATTTAAATCATGTCATCATCTAAGCATATTATAAATTATTTTATAGACGTAGCATAAAACTCGAGTATCAATTATTAAAAAATAGTGTTTCCCCGTGGAATCTTATGTATTTAATTATAATTGGTGATATTTTTGAAACATTCAAAGAAATAC